TTTTGCTCTTTATATCGGTCAGTTGTTTGTGGCAGCTTCTCTTGCTTCTTCATGTGTACTGAGAGGGCCGTTGTCTCTGAGTATTGTGATGCAACTACTGGCGGGCGGTTGGGTCATGTTGGGGCAGTTGATTCTATCAAGGGGTGAGAGAAAGGAATAAAAACAACAACAACAAAAAGGAAACAGAGGTCAGTGCCCTGATAGCCCTGTTTCAGCCAGCTCTTGCTTTGGCCAACAAGAGCCGTAGGGAGTGTGGGGCTGGTGTTGCTGTAACTGTGCACCTGGGTTTTCTTCTATGATGTATTTTCTGGTCATACTTGTTGCAAATAGAGGGATTGTGTAGTGTATTTGCCTATATGGCCATCTTAAGCAGAGGCCAAGAAACTGAAACTTTAATGATATAGGTACATTTAAGTAAAAGTATGAAGGAAGATCTATCATGCAAATGCAAAGCAAAAGAAAATAGGAGTGGTTATATTAGTAGCTGATAACATAGATTCAGGCCACACCAAAAATAACCAGAGACAAAGAGAAACATTACATATTGACAAAAAATCATTTCACAAAGAAGGCAGATCAATTGCATGCATCAATCAGAGCTAAGAGTACAAACATTAAAAACAGAAATGAAATGATAAATATATAAATGCACAATTATAATAGGTGTGGCCTACTTGCTCTCTTTCCTGGCTACTAGTTATAGCCTGAGGTTAACAGAGCAGGTAGGAGGCTTTTTCTTCTTCTTCTTCCCTTTCCTAAAACTGTGGGACTGTGTGAGAGGTTAGCCAGCCTTATATTCCCCATTGCCTTACATGACTGTGGGGGAGTCTATACAAATGAGGCTAACGAGTGGCTGGCCGCATACTTCCCACTACTCTCCATGGTTGAGGAGAGTGCTCACAGAAACAGTGCTATAGAATCACTGGCCATAAAATCCCATCAACAGTTTTTCAGTAATCAAACTCCTAATGATAAATCAGCATGCAAGCAGGAAAATCGGAGCACCAACAACAATTCTAACCAAACACAACAATACACATTCCTCCTGAGTGCATACTGAACAGCCAGCAAGGTCATGAAACAAAGTCTAGAAATTTTTAAACCTTGAACTCACGTAAAGTATGGTTTCTGAACAGCAGAAAGGAAAAAATATTCTATAGCTTTACATCAAACAAAATACTTAAATAACCCATGGATATATAGGAAATCAAACATATAATAAAACAAAAAAATAGAAAATATTTTGAATTGAGCAAAAGTAAAAATGCAACTTAAAACAAAATGTGTGCCGTGCAGCGAAAGTGGTGCTGGAAGGAAAATTATAACGGCAAATGCTTTTATTTATAACCAGACATGCCCCCAATACATTAAGAAATGAGAAAAAAGACCCAAATAAAAATGAAACTAAGCAGAAGAAAGGACAAAATAAACAGATAAGCATAAATCAATGAAATGAAAAATTGAAACACATAAAACCAATGAAACCAAAAGTTCATTCTCTGAAAAGATCCTTAAAATTGATAAACCATTAGGAAAGATGATAAAGTAAAACAAAAGAGAAACAAATTGCCAGCACCAATAAGAAGAGAGACTATTACTACAGACCTCCCCCTCAGATATTAAAATGAAAATTAAAAGTATTAAAAACAATTCTTCAGTTTGAGATCTTAGATAAAATGGACCAATTGGTCAAAATCACAAAGTGCCACATCTTGTTTATGAAATAAACAATTGAACAATCTTATAATTATTAAATGAATCGAATTTGTTGCTAAAATATCCAATATTAACTAATATCCAAAGTTCACAAGGTTTCGTTGGTGAATTTTACCAAGAATTTAAAGAAAGAACCAATAATTTAAGGAAATAACCCAATTCTCTATATTTTCTTTTAGAAAACAGGAGAGAGTATAGATATCAAAACATGACAAATACAGTAAAAAGTAAACCTCCTCAAACCAAACTCACTGCTACAGAGTCAATTCTGACCCAGAGACCCAGAGGACAGACTGGAACTGCCCTTGGGGGTTTCCAATTCTGTAGATCTTTATGGCGGCCCAAAGCCTCATCTTTCTCCCACGGAGGGCCTGGTGGCTTCAAACGTCTAACTTTGCAGCTGGCAACTCAATGTGTAACCCACAATACACCATTAGGGCTCCTAAAGTACAAGAGTTCAAACCAATCAATATTCCCTCTGAATAAAAATATTGAACAAAATATTATCAAATAAAATTCAGTACTGTATTACAAAAACCCCACCATGGCCAAGTGGGTTTATCCTAGGAATTTGAGACTGGTACAGTATTTGAAAATCAGTCATTGCAATAAACCACACTGTCTAAATGGGACTATTTGAAGAAGAATGCAACATCAGGAATGGAAGAAGGTTTATTAACAATGTGTAATATGCAAATTACATAACTGTACTGGCTGAAAGTGAGGAGTACTTTATAAAGCAGCCTTCAGTATATATTACAACTCAATGTTAAGAAACCCCAAATCCTCACAAATGGACCAATAGACAACATCATGATAAACAGAGAAAAGACTGTCAAGGATTTCACTTTACTTGGATCCACAATCAATGCTCCTGCAAACAGGAGGCAAGAAATCAAATGACTTATTGCATTGGGTAATTTGCTGGGGAAAAAAAAGACCTATTTAAAAAGCAACAATGTCACTTTGATGAGTAAGGTATGCTTTACCGAAGCCAGAGTAATTTCAATTATATTCACTGCTGGACAATGAATAAGGGAAACCAAGGAAGAATTGATGCATATGAATTCTGGTGTTGGCAAATAATACTAGAAGTACCATGATTACCAGAAAAACTAACAAATGTGTCTTTGAAGAAGTAAAGCCAGATTGTTCCTTAAAGGCAAGGATGGTGAGAGATCATCTCACATACTTTGGATGTGTTAGTAGGAAAGACCAGTCCCGGGAACAAGACATCATGTTTGGTAAAGTGGAGTCAGTGATGAAGAATAAGACCTTCTAGGAGATGGATTGAGACGGTGACTGCAACAATGGGCTTCAACATTGTTGTGAAGACGGCACAGGACTGTGCAGTGTGTCATTTTGCGGTACATAGGGTCACTACAAGTTGGAGCTGACTTAACGTCACAACAATCTTGATAGATTTTTCTAGAAGAACCTAGAATAATCACAAGGGTTTATTATGAAGAAGTTTAAAGAAAATTGAAAACTACCTTGGTGAAAAACTATCAGAAAAATTGTGCTGAGGAATCCCCCCCACTAGCACAACAACATACTTCTTTATTCTTCAAAGATAATAACAGAGAATCTCACAGAGAAACCTTTTCTCATCCACCATATAGCTCTGATCTTGACCTTGCATACTTCTTTTATTCCTCAAGTTCAAAGATAATTTAAAAGGAACAGGATTTGAGTCCCTCAAAGATACAGGAGCTGCCATTGTGACATGGTTTATATTTTTTCAGGAAAGGATTAGAGAGATGAAACACTGCCGTCAAAAATGTATAGGCCTAGATGGAAGATACGGAGCCTAGTGGTGTAGTGGTTATGCATGGGGCTGTGATTTACATGGGAGGCAGTTCAAAACCACCAGCAGCTCCATGGGAGAAAGACTGGGCTTTCTACTCTAAACAGTTACATACTCAGAAACCCACAGGGTTGCTATGAGTCCTGGCAGTGAGATGGAAGATAGTCAAGAAACAATAGTTTTAAATTTTGATATTATTTTTTAAGGTCCTATGACTTTGCAGTAATATTTTTCACTTACCCTTGTATATTCAGTATATATTAAGAATCCTTATAAAACAAACAACAAACAACCCCCAAACAAAGATTTGAACAAACATTTTATCAAAGAGTATAGAACAATGGTAAATAATAGCATGAAAAGATGTTGAATATTATTAGTCATTTGTGAAATGCAAACTAAAGATAGGGTTAAATGCCACCACACATTTATTAGATTGTCTACAATACAAATAAAATTATATCTACCGTTCTTGTTCATTGTTGCTGGGAGTGCAAAATGATACAGTGACTGGAAGATACAGTTTGGAAACTTCTTAAAAATTTAAACAACTCCTTACCATATGATCCATATTTATCTTAAAGGGATAAAAGTTTATATTACCACAAAAATATACATGCATGCTAATAAGACTTTTTTTTCATAATCATCTCAAACCAAATGGTCTTCATTTGGGGTACTTTCACATAGGCAAACATAACTAAAAGCAACAAACTACTGATACATGGCACAACACAGGAAAAATCTCAAAGTATTAAGCTGACCAAAGCCAAATTTAAAGATTACATGCCATATGGCTCGATTGCTATGGCATTCAGAAAAAGACAACACTATTGTGATGGAGGCAGGATCAGTTGTCACATGGTATTATAGATAGGGATGTTTATTGGAGTAATATAATTGTTCAGTACCCTGATTGTGGTGTTAGATACACTAATCTATCTATTCATTAAAATTCATAGATCTGTACATTAAGAAATCAAACTTATTATAATAAAACTTAAAACCACAAAATCAAACACATCTCTAACTCACCATACAGTAGAAAAAAAGGTGTTCTGACAGAGTCAAATCATTAAACAACAAATCATGCTGTGGACAGAAGCCCAAATTTTTTCGAACATGGGCTATATTCTTTGAGATGTCATATCCATTAATGTAAGCCTCTCCTCTGGTAGGGGGGTGAAGACCTGGAATTAAGCAGAAGACGTGATGGAACTTAACTTCGGTAAAGGAATATGACAACCTATTGCAAAATAACATGTCAAATTTGTTGCTACTCACGGATTACTCACAGGAGAAATAGATTTGTACACTATCTACTACAGAGAGAGAAACTGAAAATTTGAAAATAAAACTCGATTGTCATGAAGTCAATTCTGACCCATAGTGACCCCACAGGATAGGGTAAAACTACCTCTCTATGGGTTTTCAAAACTGTAAATCTCTACAGCCGTAGAAAGCTTCATCTTTGTCCCACAGAACAAGGGATGGTTTTGAACTGCTGACCTTATGGTGAGCAGCTCAATACATGCCACCATGGCTCCTAAAAAGAAAGCCATAACCAAATGCACTGCTGTTGAGTTAATTCCAACTCTCAGTGACCCTCTAGGGCAGGCTAGAACTGCCCCTGTAAGTTTATGAGTCTGTACCTTTGTGCTGTTAACAGCCCAACGCATAACCATTACACCACCAGGGTTCCTTCCTAAAGAATAGTTCTGGAAAAAAACCAAAAAGCATTGGCTGTTGTCTCTGGGTGATGGAATTGGTTATTTTTTGCTTTGTTTTCTTCTCTTTTTCACGTCTTAATTTTATACAATGCTTATGGGTTACATAAATAAAAAGACATTTAACTTATTTGCTGTCTTCCAATATTTCAGTGCTGCAATCAGGCAGTCATCACATTTGTGAACCATAGTAGGTCTTAAGTACATAATTTTTTAATCCAGAAGATAGAATATTTTAATCAAGACGTGCTTAGTATTTACAAAAATATTGATGCACTACCAGGCACATGTGGTTTCGATTTTATGAAGAAATTTTTGGTGCTGGTAGCATCGTGGTTATGCATTGACCTGCCAATTTCAAGGTCAGTAGTCTGAACCTACCAGCTTTTCTGTGGGAGAAAGATGGAGGTTTTCTCTTTTCATAAAGATTTCAGCCTGGGAAACCCAAACGGCCAGGTCTACCCAATGAGGTCACTATAAACTTGGGGGTCACAAAATCAACTTGATGGTAGTGGTGGGTATGTGACCAAGTAATTCTAACACCATTAACATGATTGTATCATTTATCCTATTTAATATATATATATTGCAACATATTTCTGAAAAGTATATTTACAACTATACCCCAGAGTGAGCAACTGTTGTTATTGTGAGGTGCTATGGAGTCAGTTCCCATCCACAGTGACCCAGCCCAGTTGTGACTTCCTGATGTGTGTTCCAGCCATGATTAGTCTTCATGAGTCCTACCAGGGACTCTTTCCTGCTGGGTCCAGCTAAGACAGTGAGAGAAGATACTGGTGGGATATTATACAGTTGTGAGTGATTTTGAACAGGGGTAATTGCCGTCCTGCTGAGTATAATTTGAGCCATTTCAGAAGCAGGGGTGAGAGTTCACTACTTACAAGAGAAAAGAGCCAGAAATGGAGGTGTTGTTAGGTGCTATCCCGTTGAGTTCAACCCCTAGCGACCTTGTGCACAACAGAAGGAAACACTTCCCAGACCTGGGCCATCCTGACAAACGGTCCGATGCGCGAGTCCGTTGTCACAGCTTGGTGGCAATTCCTCTCCCTGAGGGCTTTCCTCTCCTATGCTGCCTCTCTACTTTACCAAACACAATGTCCTTCTCCGGGGACTGTCTCTCCTGACAACATGTTCAAAGCATGTAAGGCAAAGTCTTGCCATTTTTGCCTCTAAGGAACATCCTGTCCATACTTCTCCTAAGACAGACTTCCCTTTTATCAGCCCAGGGCGCTTTCAGCATTCTTCTCCAGCACCACAATTCAAATGCATCGATTCCTCTTTGGTCTTCCTTATTCAGTGTCACACGCTTATACATCAATTGAAAATACTACGGCTTGGTTTAGGCACACATTTGTCCTCAAAGTAATACCCTTGCTGTTCAATACTCTACAGAGGTCTTGTGTAGAAAATTTGCCTAATGCAACATGTCTCTTGATCTCTTGATGGCTGTTTCCATGAGTACTGATGGTGGCTCTAAGCAAGACAAAATCCCTGACAACTTCAACCTTTTCTTCATTTATCATGTTACCTACTGGTCCAGCTGTGAGGATTTTGTTGTTCTTCACATTGAGTTGTCGTCCATATTGAAGACTGCAATTCTTGATCTTCATCAGCAAGTGCTTTAGTTCCTCCACACTTTCAGCAAGGAACCTTGTGTCATCTGTATTTCTCAGGTTATTAATAAGCTTTCCTCTAATCCTGATGCTGCAGTCTTTATCATATAATCCAGTTTCTCTGAATATTTGCTCAGCATATAGATGGAATAAGGATGTGAGAGGATACAACCCTGTCACACACATTTCCCGAGTGGAGAAAGTCCTTTAAATCCCGCATCTAGTTTGCCTCTGTATGCCTGACTTTCCAGTTCTAGGGACTTGAGTTGTGGCCTACCGTGTGACATGATTTCACCAGCTTTCACAGCCTTGTGAATGAGAAGAATCCTCCAGACAGATTTTGAATTTCATCCTTGGGATTTACCAGCATCCACAACTATTTGAATAATTTTCCTTCCTGCTGAAAGTTCTGTGTGACTTTATTGTAACAGATTTTAGCACGCTGGGATGCAGGACAATATACTAACAGAGGAGTGGTGGCTGATACCCGGGATAATGGAAGGCTATAATATTTTTGAAGAGTTAGACATGGGATATCTTTAATTTCTTCTTTCTTATGATGAGTCATGTATTAATTTTTCTAAATTATTTCCATAGTATTAACAAAATCCATAATAAAGCTACTTCACTTTATAGAAGACAAATACTCAAACCCAAAAATGACTAAGTTAAATATAGCATATTAATATAAAATACTATTGTATAACTATCAAGAGAAGTTATAGGTTTTCCCGGGAAGATGGCATAGAGGTAAGGTCACCCTGAAGGAGCTCCTTTGAGTAAAGGTTGGATCTACGGTGAGGGTCCAGTTTGGGAGAGTGGAGCGTGGGTCCTGGACTAGCTGGGGGATCTTTTGCGGGTCTCCCCACAGATAGCGCCAGTTTTGCTCACCAGGACACACACTCCTTTCCATTTCTTGCACCAGAGACCCATGTGCTCAGCATCCAGAGCGGCGGTCCCTTGCCTTGGTCTCTCTGTGTTTCACCTGAGGCCACCACACATGCCTCTGCAACACCCCCCCCTGCCCCCCATGCCCCAGTGACACATGCGCTGGTCCCAGTTCATTACTGGCCCAGAGGACCCGCACGCACTGCACTGTCTTGCACCCTCCCCGCCCAAGTGACACATGCTCTATGCACCTAGATGAGCCATGCCACACCACCTTGCATTCCCTACTCCCCTCGCCCCACACAGAGTCACATGTGGTGCAGTTCCCAGTTAATTCCTGCCCTGGTGACCTGCACACTGCACAACCTTGCACTCCCCCTACCCCCCAGTGACACATGCACTGTTCCCAGTTTATTCTCACCCAGGTGACCCTCAGGTACCTTGCACTCCCTCTACCCCCAGCAGCATATGTGCTGTGGTTCCCTGTTTATTCTCTCTAGCTCACGTGACCAGAGCAGAGGTACCTTGCCTAAATCTCCCCACCTCCAATCTGAGACCCACACACAGTGTTGACCTGAGTTCATAAACAATCCCCTTGGTGATTCTTGCCACACCACCTTCCATTCCATCCCCCCCACCCCTCACCCCCTAGCAATACACGTACCATTCCTTGTTTAATCTCACCCAGGTGACCCCCTTGGTGGCCCACATGCCATACCCCCACCTCTGGAAACCTGGGAGCAGAACTCCCTTGGGGTCCCCAGCACCAGACAGCCTGCCCCTCTAGGCCATCACAAGGATGTCCGCTTGGACTTCCTGAGACCCTGGAAACTAGACACCATTGCAGTCCACAGAAATGAATCCCAGTTGGAATAATCCCCTTGCCAAGACCTTCCATACTCCCCCAATAGCAAGGGAACAGCTAGACCCTCCATAGAGATAGCCCCAATAACACAGGGAGGGAGCCAGAGATGCCGCTCAAACTCATGTTAAATCTGGCTCTAGGTTGTAGGTAGATTTAGTCTTATTTTCTTCTGAGAAAGATGAAACAGGTCTCCTGTCCCCCCCAAAAGAATTGGAACTCAGTAGACAGGGTTACTCAGTGGCCTTCCCTGCCCCTGGCTAGGAAGCCCCACCTCCCTGGGGAACCCACTACAATAGTCTTCTATACCTTGGACCATACGTAAGGAGTGGCAAGTCCTGAGCCATGTAGTAACCTACTACAAAGAGGCTTCTGTTATAAACCCTTATAATTGAATGGCTACACTACACACTCCCTTCAGGAAGTTCAGGGTCAACAAGGGAGTCTGGTAGATATTATATACCCACAAGTTCCTGCACCAGTTGCTTGTGTTCACTCTCTCCTCCCCACCCCCCCAAGCGAAAAGCCCCAAGCTTTCACCCTAATAGCCCACCTTCCCCATGCTACCAGCTGTCTGTGTGCATTTCACCCCACTCTCCCCATTGACTCACCCAAGCCTGGGTGCTACCAGCCCACAGGCCTTCCTTGAGCACTTGCCCCCATGGTTGGAGGAGGCCCAGGATAGACTGCCCCTTTAGGGAAACACAAAGATGTCTGAATGGCCTTTGGAGGTGCTGGATGCTAGAGACTGCAATGGCCAGCAGATTTTAATCTCTACTGGGACCATCCCATTGCAGAGCTTCTGCATATCCCCCTAATAACAAGGGTGAAAATAGGACCTCCAGATAAATAACCCCAGCAATCTAGGAAGAGACTCAACCCCAGTGAATCAGTAGAGGCAGCTTGAAACCATGATGTAGCTGGTGCCAGGTAGTTCTTTTTTTTAAGTAATTTCAGCTTTTATTATTTTCTTTTTTTTTAAAGTGCATTTGTACATTCATTGACCTCATCATTCTCAAAACATTGCCTCTCCACTTAAACCCCTGGCATTAGGTCCTCATTTTCCCCCTCCCTCCCCG